TCCGCCTCGGCCTCCCAGAGTGCTAGGATTACAGGTGTGAGCCACCGCGCCCGGCCAAAATTGACTTTATTGAAGTATAATTGATATAGAATAAAATTTGCCCTTTTGAAGTGTACATTTGGATGTGTCTTGCCATATGTAACCAGCACCCCAATCAAGATAAAGGAACATTTCTTTTATCTAAAAAGTTCCTCAAATAGCACTTAAACCTTTAAACATATTATATAACTTAATTACTTATTATGTCTATTTTTATTATATCTACTTGACTGCCACCAATATGTAGGCTCTTTGAGGGCAGGATTTTTGTTTTGTTTACTGAAGTTCCCAAGTTCACAGTGGCAGGTAAGTAATAGCCACTGGACACATATTTGTTGAATAGATTCCCAAGGATCTATACCAATCAAATGGAAAAGCTGAAATTCTCAAACCAGTGAAAAAAATGCAAAGGCAAATATAAAATATTTGTCTAAGTCGGTATGGGAAGAACTTGCTAAGCATTCAAAAAGAAAGAAAAAACAGAAGCAACCCAACTGGAAAATACCATTAGATTCAACTATATAAACATGTACACATATTTCCCCAACTATACCACCCCAACACAAAAAAATATTTCCATCATATGTAGAATGTTAGGGTTAATCTAATAATTTAAAAAGAAAGATTTACTAAATCAGTAAGAAAAATCTGAAGAACCCAATAGAGAAATGGATAAGGTAGCAGTTCTTAAAGTGTCATTTGGTGATCCATGAGGGTCCCCAAGAGTCTTTCAGGGGTTCCGTGATTAATAATACTAAGATGTTGTTTGCCTTTTTCACTATGTTGACATTTGTGCTGATGATGCAAAAACAATGGTGACTTTTGGCATGAATCAAGACAGTGGCACTAAACTGTACTAGTAGTTGTGTTTGTTCTTTACCACCATGTCATTTTCACTTAAGTCTTTGATGAAGCAGTAAAAAATTATTAATTTTATTAAATCTTGAGTTCACATCTTTTTAACGCTTTTATTTTTTAGAGACGTCTTAGGTTCACAGCAAAATTGAGCGTAAGGTACAGAGATTTCCCATATACTCCCTTCCCCCACACATCTACGGCCTCTCTCACCATCAACATCTGGCAGCAGAGTGGTACATTTCGTATAATTGATGAACTTACTTACATTGACACATCATTATCACCCAAAGTCCATAGTTTACATTTGGGTTCACTCTTGGTGTTGTACATTCTATGGGCTTGGACAAGTGCATAATGAATGACATGTAGTCACTATTATAGTATTATACAGAATAGTTTCATTGCCCTAAAAATCCTCTGTGCTCTGCCTAGTTATCCATCCCTCCCCGCTAACTCTTGGCAACTAGTGATCTTTTTACTACCTCTAAAGTTTACCTTTTCCAGAACATCATGTAGTTGGAATCATACAGTATACAGCCTTTTCAAATTGGCTTAACTTATTAATGTGCATTTAAGGTTCCTTCATGTCTTTTCATAGCTTGATAGCCCATTTCATTTTTTCACTAAATAATATTCAATTGTCTGGATGTACCACAGGTTTTTTTATCCATTCACCTATTGAAGGCCATCGTAGTTGCTTCCAAGTTTTGGTAATTATGAATAAAGCTGCTATAAAACGTGTGTGCGCCGGGCGCGGTGGCTCATGCCTGTAATCCTAGCACTCTGGGAGGCCGAGGCGGGCGGATCGTTTGAGCTCAGGAGTTCAAGACCAGCCTGAGCAAGAGCGAGACCCCGTCTCTACTAAAAATTAGAAAGAAATTAATCGAACAACTAAAAATATATAGAAAAAATTAGCCGGGCATGGTGGCGCATGCCTGTAGTCCCAGCTACTCAGGAGGCTGAGGCAGTAGGATCACTTGAGCCCGGGAGTTTGAGGTTGCTGTGAGCTAGGCTAACGCCACGGCACTCACTCTAGCCAGGGCAACAGAGTGAAACTCTGTCTCAAAAAAAAAAAAAAAAAAAAAAAAAATGTGTGTGTAGGTTCTTGTGTGGACATGTTTTCATCTGAGTAAATACTACAGTGTGTGACTGGTGGATTGTAAGGCGAGAGTATGGTTAGTTTTATAAGAAACCATCAAATTGTCTTCCAAAGTGACTACAATTTTGCATTCCCACCAGCAATGAATGAGAGTTCCTGTTGCTCCACATTCTCGCCAGCATTTGGTGTCAGGGTTTTGGATTTTTGACATTCTAATAGGTGTGTAAAGGTGTTTCATTGTTTTGTGATTCCCTAATGATATATGATGTTGAACATCTTTTCATGTGTTTATTTGCCATCTCTGTGTCTTCTTTGGTGAGATATAGTGTCTGTTCATATCTTTTGCATTTTTTTCTTTTTCTAAAGATGGGATCTTGCTCTGTCTCCCAGGCTGGAGTACAGTGGCCCAATCACAGCTCACTGCAGGCTCAAATCCTGGGCCCAAGCAATCCTCCTGCCTCAGCCTCTCTAGTAGTTATGACTACAGTGTGTGCCACAATGCCCGGCTAATTAAAAAAATTTTTTTGTAGAGGTGGGATCTTGCTATATTGCCCAGGCTGGTCTTAATCTCCTGGCCTCAAGCGATCCTCCCACCTTGGCCTCCCAATGTGCTGGGATTATATGTGTGAGCCACCACGCCCAGCCTTTTGCCCATTTTTAAATTGTGCTGTTCATTTTATTATTGAGTTTTAAGAATTCTTTTTATATTTTGGATAACAGTCCTTTATGTCTTTTGCAAACATTTTTCTCCCAGTCTGTGGCTCATCTTCTCATTCTTTTAAGCTTCTTTCATTTTTATTTTTATAAACACTATTGATTTTTTCAATGACTATAACTTTTTAAAAGTTTTATTGAAATGATTCATGTACCAATTCATACACTTAAAGTATACAATTCACTGGCTTTTAGTATGTTCACAGGGTTTTGCAACCATCACCACAATCTAATTTTAGAACATTTTATCCCCTAATAAGAAATGCCACTCCCGTTAGCAGTCACACCCTATTTCCCACCACTACCACTTCCAGCTATACCCAACCACTAATTTACTGTCTCTGTAGATTTGTCTGTTTTGGACAGTTCATATACACTAATTCATACAATGTGTGGTCTTTTGTAACTTGCTTCTTTCACTAACATGCTTTTAAAGTTAATCCATGTTGTAGCATGAATCAGTACTTCATTCCTTCTTATTGCCAAATAATATTGTATGACTGTAACATATTTTATTTATTCATTTGTCAGTTGATGGACATTTGGGTTGTTTTCACTTTTTGGCTATTATGAATAACGCTGCTAAGAACATTCATGTGCAAGTTTTTGTGTGGACTTTTCATTTCTCTTAGGAATAGACCTAGGAGTGAAATTGATGGGTCAGATGAAAACTCTGTATTTAACATTTTAAGGAACCACCAAACTGTTTTTCAAATCAGCTGTACCATATTACATTCCTACCAACAATGTATGTAACTTTAGACATTAAACATGGACATTCCTTAAAGAACCCTGGCACTGTTTCAGGTAGAACATAGTAGGTATTCAGTAAGTTTGTTGCATGGAAAACTGAATGGGCATTCTGAGTAAGGTGAGAAGTCTGAACATGGGAAATCGGAGGGAGATGGGTTGAGGCTGACAGTAAACTTCATTCCAGCACCAGCTGGTCAGGCCTCTCTGAGCCCCATGTGATTCCCAAATAGGATCAACCAGCCCTTTCTGAGCCTGAGATTGACCTGGAGGCTCTCATGGAACTATCCACAGAGGAGCAGAAGACTCAGTTGGAGGTAGGACGAAGGATGGAAGAGGGGGGCTGGGGGCTGGAAGCTGGGCTTGGGCCAAGGGGAACCCAGGAACCCAGGCTCTGACTCCTTGGGTGTAGAGAACCAATTCACAGGGGAGAATTTTTGGGAGACTGAGCGGGGGCTTGTGGGAAACTGCTGTGGCTCAAAGCTTATACTCTGCTCTCTCTTACCCAGGCCATTCTCCAAAACTGCCCTCGCCCCACAGAGGTAAGGAATGTTCTGCTGATCTGGGGATAAGAAGGGCCCCTGAGAGGGGAGGGAGCTAATGAAGAGGAGTATTTGAAAGGGAGGCTTGGCCCTGGGTCCTTCTCCCTTCCTTGGCTCTGAGGAGATAGGGTCGGGGGAGATTAGGAGGGCAGTGTGGTGGCCAATGTGACCCCATGCCTTGATTCACTCCTGTTTCTTCCTTAGCCTTTTATCTCTGAGCTGCTCAGTGAACTCAAGAAACTCCGGAGACTCAGCCGGCCTCAGAAATAATCCTGGGAGACTATCTTCAGCAGCCTCAGTGCTGCCAGGCCTGCCTTGAACCTCTGGATCCCAGCTGAGAGGGAAACAGCTCCTTCGGACACAGACAAGGAACATGGAGGACAAGGAGGGACATTTTGTACACCCCTAGTGTATGTGCAGTCACAGCTGGTTTCTATCAGCTGGGCTCTCTGGGAGCCAATCATGGCTGCTGCCCAGTGTTTTCCTTGGCAGCCAAGTGGATAAAACCTTTAGGAGCCCCAGCTAAATGGAGTGTGGAACTATCTGTGCTGAGGGACAGCGGGAGGGGGAGGGGGAAGTGATATACTGAAGGGCCAACATCCTAAGTCACTAGAGGCTGTACCCACACACCTCATCCATCCATCCATCCAAACAGGGCTTGAGAATTCAAAGATGAAGGTCATGGTTCTGCTTCACAGAAATCACAATCTAGCAAGGCCCAGAGGCCAAGCAGAGGGCATCTGGCTGAGACACACAATATCCTGGCATCACCAACAAGGGGGCCCTCAGTAGCAAAGGCTAGTTTCGAATCCCAGAGGGGACGTACAGGAAAAACCCAGCTGGATCTGGGGGCATCAGAAAAGGCTAAACCCTCTTCCACTCACAAATGATACAGAAGGCCTTAGGCTGAGGACTCCTTCTGGAGTTAGTTCCAGCCAGAGGCAGAAAGAAAAAGCAGAAGCTATGCAGAGAGTGTGAAGAGTACGGGCTGAGAAGCCAGGGGTTGGGTCAGGGGAGTTGCCCTAAGTCAGATACTGAGTCTGAATGGCAGGTAGGTTGGGATGGGAGCCCTGGGACATGGGGTCCTGTACGAGAAAGGCAGGAAAGCAGGGTATGTATGCCTTGTTCCTGAATGCATTGTTTGAGTAGCAGAGAGGCTGAGAAATCCAAGATAGTCGGGCCTGTGGCTAAGCTGGGCTGCCCAGAGCAGAAAGCACAGTTTAGGTGAATGAATATTCATGCTTACTTTGTATGAGGACACCAGGATTCCTGCCTGGAAAAGCCTACTGGATGGCTCAGCCTTTTCTCTCATTCCACAGGACTGTGCTTATAGCCTACTCTGCTCTTGCCACCTCTCACAGGGCTCAGGCCCAGGGCCCACAGGGGTCTAGAGATAAGAGAAGCTGGGCCCAATGAACCAATGAAGCAGATACTTTATTAGATCCACTAAGTGCCAGGAGATGGTCCTGGGCCCTGAGTGAGGTTACAGGGCTCATCTTAGATCAGTCTGGTCTTTCCCCATCATGCTTCTCACTCCCAGTCTGGGCTTCTAGTAGGAGGGCCCCTACTTTTCCTTCCCCTGGCTCCTCTAGTCATCATTTCCAATGGAGACTCTTTCCTCTTTCCAGGGATACGGAGGCTCAGGAAGGGGTGTATCCAACAGCAGTTTAGCCAGACATGCTCTTCCACTGGATACCCTGAGGCTGGGCCCAGAGGTGGTGCCCTGGCCTGTGGGACTGCCTTGCTGGGAGGACCACAGTTTCCTCAGTGCTCTCAGCTTACATGCAGTGGGCGGTAGGCAGATGTCTGGTGCTCTTTAAGATCAAAGGCATCATGGCCCTCCCTGTGGAGCAAAGGGATGCAGGTCAGGGATCCCAGGCAGCCCTCTAGCCCTCCCACAGGACATGCTACCTGCACCCACCGGAAGCAGCGGGCACAGTAGAGGTCTCCATCACAGCCAGCACAGCGCAGGGTGGCGTCTTCATTGCAGATGCAGCACCAGGGGAGCTCCTCCTCCTCAGCCTCAGGCCTGGGGTCCACAGCCTGGGCCTTTATGGACCAGAGAGGAATGGGGGAAGTAAGGCACCTGGCTGCCGTGGGAGCAGTCGGCCACGCAGGCAGCACGGCTGTGGGCAGCCTGGGGGTCTGTGTCTGGGGCTTTTCTCACCTCAGGCTCTGCCCTGTAGGCTTGGGCCCGGGGTCGGGGAGCTGGCTCCGCAGGGATGTTAAAGCCGCTTGCCTCATCCAGAGCAGCTTCTTCAGTGAGCTGTGGACAGGGCAGAGAGGTAGCACTCCCTGCTCCAGGACAGCCTGCCCCCCCAGCCCAGTATTTCTGTGCTCTGTGGCCTTAGCTTCTGAACTCAACTTCCTGGTCCTGCTGCCTGGGGCTGCTGAGTCCCCATCTCAAGAGACCAGGGGGCAGGTCTGGGTCACAGGGACAACGTGGCCCCAATGAGAACAGAAGCTGCAGAGTGACTGCCTATCCAGCCCCAGGGGAGAGGCAGGGTGAACAGGGCCAGGCGAGAGGTGGAGCAATGAGGCAGCAAGACACAGGGTGCTTGGGTGGGTAAGCCAGGGCCAACCTGCTGCAGGACTCTCTGGATGGCTGTCTCCTCATCCTCATCATCATCACTGTCTGGGAGGCGATAGTCCTGGAGAGTCACTTGAAGAAGGAGAGACAAGAACAGGGGAAAGAGAAGTGAGGGTGAGAGATTTCACCTGCGTGCCGGCCCTGCTGCCTCTGAGAACTGGTTTGGTTCCCAGGTGCACTTGGTCCAGAGCTGTGGAGCCTCTTCAGCCACTCTGATCAGACCCTCTCCCTCCCTGCCCAAGCCTGGAAGGGCTGGGGGGCACCTCAATGGACTGAAGGTCCCCTGGCCCCCTGATGGCTGCCACTAATTCCTCATTAGCTGCTGTGCCCCAGTACCTTCCTTGTGGCTCTGGGCAGGACTCAACAGGTCTCTAGGCACTGGGACCCCCAGCACCTACTCAGCTCTGGAAGGGAGAGCTTGGCCTGGGAGCGAGGGGAGGCCTTGCCCAATGGACATGAGTGAGTGGCTGTTTCCCAGCCTTTACCTCTATCGGGGTCCTGTCCCCGCAGCACGGCCAGCCGCTTGGCAAGTGCCAGGATCCGCTCCTGCCTCGTGTTCTCCTCTCGCAGCTCAACTGCTGCCTCCGCCAGCAGTCTGCTTTTCTCTTTGTCCAGGGACCAGCTGGCCTGCCCCTTGGAATTAGTGCTCTGGCTCCCTGGCCCACCCTGGCTCAGGTCATTCTGGAGAGAGGCAGCTGGAAGGACTAACACAGGGAGGCAGAGACAGTTCAAGATCTTTCCTCAGAAGCCAGTGAGCCCATGTCTTGATTCTTTTCTAACCACAGATCATCAACTGTTTGCTCAGCACTAGCACCTATGGTTTGTGTTACAAACGAAATTTGTATGTCCTTCATTTTTCCAAAGTAGTAATCTTAGACATGCCTTTTTCAACCACATCCATCCCCACCCACCTGAGACTCTGGCATGCTGCCCTTCAGGTGAGTGGCCATGGTTTGAGAATCACTGCCCTAAAGGATCAGGATATGGAGAGGCCAAGGTTTAGCTAGTCTCTTTGCCTTTCAGGGCTGGAATTAACATTTCCTGGGAGCAGCACATGCCTCTCTAGGGCATGAAGCAAGCTGAAGTCTTGTATATCACTGGGCAGGAAGAATTTTACCAGAGTAGGTGTGGCTCTTACAGTCACCTTCAGTTCAGAGTTTCAGAGCAAGAGGTTTGAAACCACAACTTTAGGTTCAAGTCCTACCTCTGCCACTTAATAGCTGTGTGACCTTGGTCAAATTCCTTAAGCTCACTAGGCCTCAGTTTTCTCATTTATAAATAAGGATAATAACAGTATATACTTCATAGGATTACTGAGGATATTCAATGAGATTATGTCTCTAAAGCAGAGTTTCTCAATCTTAGTTCTATTGATCCTTTGTTGTGGGGGGCTGTCCTGTGCACTGTAAGATGTTGAGTAGCATCTGGGCTTCTACCCTCTAGATGCCGGTAGTACCCTCCGAGTTGTGAGAACCAGAGTCTCCAGATATTGCCGAAAATGCCCTCGGGGGCAAAATCATCCCTTGTTGAAAACCACTGCTCTGAAGCCTTCCAAATAGCACTGTCTAATAGAATTTTCTATGATGATAGAAACATTCCATATCATGTTCTATATCTGTGCTGTCCAAGATGGCAGCCATGAGCCCATGAGACTATTAAGCATCTGAAATGTGGCTGGTACTGCTAAGCAACTAAATTTTTAATTTCATTAAGTTTTAATTAAATGTAAATAGCTTCTTCCTCCTTATCATCATCATTGCAGACAATATTCACTGAGCACTTACTATAAGCCAAGCACTTATTGGATTATCTCATTTACTCCTCATGACTTCCCCATGAGGTAGGTTTTACCATATATACACCTTCATTTTACAGATGAGGAAAGTTTAAGACTTAGACTAGTCAAGTAACTTGCCCAGGGTGACATAGCTCATACATGGTAGAACTGGGAATCACTGTCTGCGTCTAAAGCCCATACACTTAAGCCAGGCTCACACGGGCTCCCTTTGGAGTAAGCACTTAATAAATGGTAGCTCTTATGTTGATCACTCTCTCATTTATGTTCATCTCCCATCTAGGGAAAGAGGTAGGGCAGCTCCCTGGGGGAGCCAAGTGGAGGCGTTACCTGGGCCTCTTCGTTCCCAGCTTTTATCAATAGCCACCTCAGCCGTCAGGTGCGTTAGCAGATCCTGTGCCTGCTGGGCCTGGGTCCTGGTGTCTGGTGTCTGATGTGCCTGCCCAGAGGAGAGGGAACCTCAGTGGGGAGGAGGGTAGCCCAGAGCAGTCCAGGTTAGGGGTGGATGTTGAGGAGTTCTCAAAGCCCAAGCAAAGGGGATGGATCCAGGGCCCACATAATTGGGTAGGTCTGCCAGTCCTCAACAGGACTGGGGTCCACTCTTTCCTGCCCTACTCAATTCTGCTGCTTGTCCCTGGTTCCTTGGCCTGGCAGCAGGCCTAAGGATCAGGAGTTAGGGGTAGGAGGCTTTGCCAACTCCTACAAAGTTCATAAAGTACAAAGTACATGTATCTGGGCTTCGTCCAGGTCAATGCCCTAGGACCCCCTTCTCTCCTAAGCCATAGCACTCACCGGCTGGGGGTTCTGAGAGGGTGGAACTCTGTCCTGCAATGCAGCAAGCCGTGCCTCCATCTCCTGGGTAGAAGGGATGGAACCCTGGGGTTCACCCTTCAGTGCAGCCAGCCGTGCCTCTATCTCTGCCTGCGAGGGTACTAACTCTGCAATTGGCATGGGGGAGCCTTGTAAGAGCCAGAGGAATCCCAGTCCCAGAAGCCCCACACAGTCTTTTAGGCCACCCTGCCTGCCCCCACTCACTGGGCTTGTTCTCCTGGCGAAGCCGTGCTAGGCGCTCAGCTATGACCTGGTCTTGTTGGGTCAGTCCCTTGCTCTGGGGAGTGCTGGGCTTCTGCTTGGCTTCCAAGGCTGCCACACGCCTAGCAGGATATGAGATAGAGGCTCTTGAAGAAGGAAGAAGGCAGAAGGAATGGAGGTACCCGCTTACCTACTGTTTCCCATTCAAATCATTCCTGGGCATCTAGGGAGGCCTCCAGCTGACCAGCCAGAGGGTATGGCTGAGAGGGCAAGATCTACCACGTGCTTTTTCTGGGGAAAGGGCTGATGACCTGCTTTCTGAGCCCAAGTGGGCAGTCAGGAGCCTGAGGTAGGTATTCTGACTCTGTGCTCATCTGATCTAGTGGCTGGGAGGAGAGTTCTACCCTATGGTTGTCTTGTCCTTTCCCCAGCCTCATTTGTCTTTTTCTCTTTAGCACTTACTTCTTATAGTTTTGAGGTGGTGACCACTTGGAGTCATTGGTAGGAGAAGACCCGCTATAGAGAAGAAATCTAGTGTCAGAAGTCCTGCCATCCTGCCAGTCAGTGCCTCCCACACCCCAAACACTTCCTGGGCTGACTCTAGCCACAGGGCCCAAGGCTGCGAAGGCTGGCCATGTGCCCACTGCCACACTTGGCTGAACTTTCACCCATATCCGCTTCTCACCTGGTCAGTACCTCGTGGCACTGCTTGCAGACTTTCTGTTGGGTGTTTCCAGTCCGAGGCACTGCTGCCCTGAAGCTGAGGCAGCCAGAACAGAAGGCCCGGCCACAATTCTTACAGCCGTACTGTAAGAAACATGAAGCAGGAGGATCCACCTCTCACCCCCTCCCCAGCAAGCTGCTCCCCGGGACTCTCCAAACACATAGAGAGAGAAGACACTGAAGTTGTGACCAGTTGCTGGGAAGAGGAAGAGGAGTGGGCCCCTAAGACCTAGGGAGAGACAGGGGCAGAAAGTAAAGCAATTTCTTGGTTTCCAGTCTCTTATTCTAATCAAATAAAGCTTTCTGCAAAATTTCCATGCTTTATATCCTGTTTTCAATTCCCCAGCACAGGGGTGTAGAATACAGATAGGTAAAGCCCCATGCTGCAGGTCACTGACTCTTCAACAAAGGACAATCAGAGAGAACGAAGAGCCCATGACTTCTCTGCTCTAGCAGAGATGGAGGGAGGCTTGGCTCAGGATGGGATGATAACAATAGACTCCATTTATTAAGCACACACTGCATGCCAGGCGCTAAACTCGGCACTTAACATTCATCATCTGATTTAATCGTCACAATTTACACATATTATTTTACTTATTCCTGATGCCCACCATTATTATCCCTATTTGCCAGAGACGTTATATGACTTGCCCAAACCAAGGTCACCCCATGAATAAGACAGCAGAGCTCCACTTTGAACCCTAACTCCAAAACCCAGGTTGCTAAGTACTACACGTCCTGCCTCCCTATGCACTGTTAATTCATCCCATGTGGGCCCCATCATCTCCTGGTCTGATGCTCTGGCCACAACGGAGGCAGGGGAAGCCTGCAGTTTACCAGAGGAACTTGGCAGGTCTGTGCTGAGGACAAGAGAGCCTTTGCCCTGCTGCCCTGGGAGCAGAAGTAAATTTGGTAATCTAACTCCAGAGACCTGGGAAACGCAGGCTGCGAGATGAGGAAGGTTTCAGAGCAGAAAGAGTAACGGGCTTGGTGTAATAAACACCTAGCTGCAGAGGAGGAGCGGGGCGGAGAAAGGAAACAGGCGGATGCTACACTTGACCCACAGAAAAAGCACAGCTTTTCAAAAACGACAGCAACGCTCTGGCTCAAGCCTGTAATTCCAGCACTTTGGGAGGCCCAGGCAGGAGGATCGCTTGAGACCAGGACTTCCAGACCAGAAAAGGAAGCTGAGACTCAATGACTTTATCAAAATCTCACAGCTGGAAAGAAGCTGTAAGACCAAATCTTCGAATTGCAAGTCTTCCCGCCACTCCGCGTCCTCCCAGGCCCTCTATCCCTGGGGGAGAGAAGACTCGCCTCCTTCTTGAAGAGGGTGAACTTGACAGCGCAGCCGTAGCACCGGCTCTCCATCGTGGCTCCCAGCGCGGCAGATCGGCAGAAGGGAGGTCTCGTCGGCCAGGTCCAGAGCCCCCAGGACCCTCACCCAACCCTGCCCTGCCCTACACGCCCACTCGCGCGGTCCAGCTGTGGCCTGGGCGGGGAATCCGGATGCTCCCCCAACCCCCAGCACGAGGAAGGCAGCGGCGGGAGCGGCGGCTGCTGGGAGTCGTAGTTCACTCACTACTGTCGGCCTCCCTCTGAGTCAGTCAAGCCTGACTCATAACACGACAATTCCCAGGGGGCTAAGCGCCACTCGCAGCTAGCAGTCCCCACTCACGCTTAGACTCTTGGGAGTTGTAGTACGAATCCAGTCAGGGTTGGAACCATGGCGGTGACCAAGGAGCTCTTACAGATGGACCTGTACGCGCTGCTAGGCATTGAGGAGAAGGCGGCAGACAAAGAGGTGAGAACGGTGGCGAGGAAGGCTGATCCTGAGAGGCCTGGTGGCCCTTCCTGTCCTGGCGCCTCACTCGCGGCTGGCACCCGCTCTCCAGGTTCGGTTGGGCCCTGGGCGGGGAGCGAGGGTCAGCCCCTTGGCCTCAGCAGGCGGACTCTCAAACATTTTCTGGACGGTCAGAGGACCTCACCAGGAAGCGGGCACAGAGGACTCCCCGCGCCCGTGGCTATGCTCTCCCTGTGCTTCCTATCCGATAGAGGCCGCGGGGCGAGCTTGTGAGGGAACGCTAGCCTGCTCTGCGCCTGCGCAATCTCCGTCTCGGCTTTCGCTTCTGTCTTGATTGTGGCTAGAAGTGCTTCATTTCAGGTGCTCTCCTTCAGGCTGTTTTAACTCCACTTACAGCCTAAGGCAGAAGAATGGTCAGATCTCAAGGCTCCTCCACTCCCGCTTCATGGCCCCTTGCTGGTGTGACCTGTGACTTTGTTGGCTGTTTTATTTTCCTCTCTGGCCCATTGACTCCTTTTCAAGCAGTAGATGCTCAGGTGTTGCCCTTCTCAGCATGTGGTAGTTCGTGGGCCAAAAGCAGGAGGATCAGAGGGTAAGGCAGGTGGCCTGGAGTTCCGTACTACCTTAGGTATTGATAAAGTTGCCAAGGGGTGAAACACTTACCAAGCTAGACTTAAGATATCTGTTATTGCCCCCTGGATCATGGTGGTGGTTGTAATAATATATGAAGGGAAGGTATTCATTGGATGAAAATTAATCTCCCCTAATGCCCCTGTACTTTTGGGCTGCCCTGCTCATGGGGTGAGTGACATTTTGAGAAGAGGAAGGTCTGGGGCAGAAAAGCAGAAAGACCCAGAGGACTCTTGAAGAGAGATGCTGTCAACCTGCACAGAAATGTCTGCTGCACCTGCAGCTGAAACCAGAAGTGGCCACGGAATGTCTATGGTGCACCAAAAATCTGCTTCACCTTTCTCATAAGTCTTAACATTTTAGTGTTAATAATGCCTAACACCTGTATAATGCTTACTATGTGCTGGACATTAATCTTAAGTGCTCTACATGTGTAAATTGCTTAATTAGTACTTTATTAATAATGAGAAACTGTTTGGGACATTCATTTCACACAAGATCCAGCCAGTGCAAAATCTGGAGTTTGGAACCCTGAACTTGAGAACTCCTGAGGAAGGCAATTGGGAGCTACTGATGTATATATTAATCAGAGAAGTGACATAATTGGACTTTAAAGAAAAATATCCAACATCAGTATGCAGAACGGACACTGGTGAGGGGTGGAGGAGCTGTCACTAGGAGGTCAGATGATGCTGGTGACAAGGCAAGAGACCAATGTCTGAGCTAGGCAGTGGTGGCTGGGATCCAGTTCTCACTTAGATGAGGTAAGGGATATGTGTGAATGCTCTTTATAAAAGGTAACCAGTGCTACTCCTGTCTTTTAGTAGGGGAGGCAAGATTCATGGACAACTATAATACAAGGGAATCATGGCAAGTTCCTTAAGAGAACTTAAGAGGGATGCAAAGTATGTGGATCTTCAGAGTAGGCCAAGATTGCTTTTAGTTTGAGAGAAGGGGTAGGGGAAGTAGAGAAGGCATTTGAGGCTTTGAAAAGTGGGCAGAGTTTGGACATGTGAAGGTGGAGGAAGGGCATTCCAAGAAAGAGGAGAGTGTGTATAGTCCAATTTGTCTGGAGCATAAGCTTAGAAGAAAGAGTAAAAGAAGATAAATGTTGAAGAGTAGGTGGCATCTTCTGAGAGGCTTACCTATTCTCTTTCATAGCAGCCAATTCTCTTCCTTTCCAGCACTTATTTCCATTTGCACTTTGGATACACTGGCTAGCTTCATGGTAATGGACACTTTTTAGTAGAAAACAAGGGATACCTAGGCCCTGGCATCCCTTCTCCATGGTTTAATACCTGTCATAATGTTTAGGGGAGCGGTCCCCAACCTTTTTGGCACCAGGGACCGGTTTCATGGAAGACAATTTTTCCACAGACCAGGGAGGGGTGAGGGGGATGGTTTCAGGATGATTCAAGCACATTACATTTATTGTGCACTTTATTTCTATTATTATTATTACATTGTAATATATAATGAAATAATTGTACAACTCACCATAATGCAGAATCTAATGCTGCCACTGATCTGACAGGGGGCCGAGCTCAGGCGGTGATGCAAGCTATGGGGAGCAGCTATAAACACAGATGAAGCTTCACTTTCTCACTCTCTGCTCACCTTGTGCTGTGCTTCCAGTTCTTAATAGGCCACAGACTGCTGCCGGTCTGTGGCCTGGGGGTTGGGGACTACAGTTCTAGGGGAACCTGGAGGACCAAGAAATATTTAAAGTGTGTACAAGGAAGGCCTCCTAAACTTCATTTGTCTGACCATATAGCCTAGGATTTCTTAATTTAGCCTCTATGGAAAGGTTCCAGGAACTGGGTGAACCCCTGAAATCATGTATAATATTTTTTGTGTATTTATTTTGCAGGAGAGGAAGTAATTTTTATCCAAAAAAAACCTTAAAGAAGCCCTGATCTAGGCAAAGCTCCTTGTGTTACTGGTGAAACAAGCTCAGAGAGGGTGGTTAGTGACAGAACTGGAATTAGAACTCAAATCCCCTGTTGCCCAGCTCAGGTCTGTGCTCCTTCCACTGTGTCTCCCTGGCCTTATCCAGCATCGTTCAGTGGTAATGATCAGCACCAACACTCAATTTAACCTTTGTTCAGACCATTTCTCTGAATTCCAAATCCATATATCCATCTGCCTAATTGATCTCTCTACTTAGATGATTCATCGGGGTCCAAATCTTACTACATCCAAAATTGAACTCTCAAACTTCTCTCTCCAAACCTGTTCCTTCCTTGGACTTCTCCATCTCAGTACATGGCACCACCATCCATCCACTCAAGCTAGGAACCTGGAGTCCTTCTTCATAACTCCCTGTCCTCTCACCCCTGCCATCTCGTCTGTTACCAGGTCCTAATGAATCAACCTTCCAATAATTCTCAAACCTGTTCACTCTCTCCATCTCCACCACCACTGCTGCAGCCTGAGCCCCTGTCTACTCCCAACTGAATGTTTAGAGTAGCCTGCCACCTTATCGCTCTGTTTCCACTCTATTCCATTCTAATCTATTATGCCTCACAGAAAATGGAATGATCTTAGTACTCCCTTAAAACCCTATTTAGTGCTTTTAATAAAATACTCAATAGAATTTCTTGCCCCTTCATACATGCTTTTCCCTCTCCCAGGAATGTTCTTCCTCCCCTTCTGTTAATATGAGTTGCTTTTATTTATCCTTCAGAACTCGGTTTAAACGGCACCCTCGTAAAACAGCAACTCAAAGTAATGGGGAATAAAAAGGCACCCTGAGAGAGGCCTTGCCTATTATTCTCTTTCATAGTAGGCCGTTCTCCTTTCCAGCACTTATTTCAATTTGCAATTATGTATTCATCTGTGTAATTATTTGTCTCATTCCTTACTCCCCACATGTGAGGAGCAGATCTGATCCATTCACTTCTGTAGTAGCCCCTTACTTGGTGACTGGCACATAGTAGGCTTTCAATAAATATTTGTTGCCTGAATGAAGTAGTAGCTAAAGACCCCACTGCAGCAACTTGCTTGAGAATCAGGAGACCCAGGGTAAATCAATGCCTCTGTCAGGGCCTGACTTTCCCCAAATGTAAAATGAATGGTTTGAGGGGTCAGATGGCTTATAGCCTTTTTTTAAATGGCCTATGTGCTAAGAATGGTTTTTACATGTTTAAAGGAATGTAAAAAACAAATACAACTCAACAATCAAAAAACAAACAACTCAAGGAATGGGCAAAGAAGTTAAATAGACATTTCTCCAGAGAAGATATACAATTGGCTAATAAACACATGAAAAGATGTTCAACTTCACAAGTCATTGGGTAAATGCAAATAAAAACCAGGATGAGATACCACTTCTTATGCATGAAGATAGCTATTATGAAGAGAAAAAAACTCCAGAATATTAAAAATGTTGGCTAGAATGTGGGGAAATTGGAACCCTTGTGCATTGCTGGTGGTGCAGCTACTATTAAAATAGTGTGGCGATTCCTCCCTCAAAAAGTTAAACATAGAATTACTGTGTGATCCAGCAATTTCCATATGATCCATACGGTAATTAAATATAGAATTAATATGATCTAGAAACCAAAACAAACAACATGAAGAAGAACAAAGACCAAATGTGGCCCCTAAAATTTTTACTTTCTGGCCCTTTATAGAAAAATTTGCTCACCCCGGTTACAGTTAGGGACGAGATCAATTCTGCGTTTCTGTACACGGAATTAGCCCTTCTGCAAACATTTTCCACTCTTACCACAACAAACCTAGGAGGCTTAGAAGTGGGCCTACACCACCCTTCATGGGAATTTAGAAAATCAACAATTCCTGTTGTTCCACATCCAGCCCTAGAAGAGACAGGAAGGGCAGGGTATTGTTTTCTTGTAGGAAAGCCTTGAGTTGACCAAGGTTTCTGGTGGAAGTGCTCCTGGGGAGAGCATCAGTCTCCTGCTAGAGCCTGAAGCAGTAAGCCCCAGATTCTTACATACACCCTCACAGGGTAGGGCAACATGGTCTGTCAAGATGAAGAGTAGATCACGAATTAATGCTGTTTGCAAACCTTCAAGAGAGATTCCAAAGTAATCTCAGGAATTACTTGGGTGACTGCAGTGGCCTTCTAACCCTTTCCTATTTCTGTTCTTGCCCCTTTGATCCTTTTCGAACAGTAGCCAGAATGAGCCTTTAAAATGTAAATCAGATTTTGTCACCTCTGGTCATAACTCCCCAGTGGCTTCTCATCAGTCTTCCCCTGACCCATGAGGCCTTTATTTACTGTCCTACATGTTCCCTGCCATTCTCCACTTTGCTCATTGTGCTCTAGCCACATTAGTCCTCTTGTGATTTAAAAAAAAAATTGTGGTAAACACACATACTTAACATAAAATTTACCATTTTAATCTTTTTTGAGTATACAATTCAGTGGCATTAAGTACATTCACGTTGTTGTACAACCATCACCACCATTCATCTCTTTCCATCACTCCAAACTGAAATTCCATAACCAATAAATAGTAACTCCCCATTTCCTCTTCCCCCCAGCTCTTGGTAACCACTATTCTACAGGGTGTCCCAAAAGTCACCATACATAGGGAAAATGGGAAATTGTCGCTAAATATACCTTTATTTACTAAAT